AAATGCATGTTAAATGCACCTATAATGGAGTTCAATTATCAGAAACAGAATTTCCGAAAAACTGGTTAACAGACGGTATTCAAATAAAGATCCTATTTCCTTTTCGACTACAACCTTGGCACAGATCTAAGTTTAAATTCCTTTCTAAAGATCCAATAAAAAAGAAAAGACAAAAAAATGATTTTTGTTTTTTAACAGTTTGGGGAATGGAAGCTGAACTTCCTTTTGGTTCTCCCCGAAAAGAGCTTTCACTTTTTGAACCTATTTTTAAAAAACTAAAAAAAAAAATTAGAAAGTTGAAAAAAAATGGTTTTCTAACTCTAACAATTTTAAAAGAAAAAAGAAAACTATTTCTACATTTACCGAAAGAAACAAAAAACTGGTTCATCAAAGGTATTCTATTTCTAAAAGAAATAATAAATAAATTTTCAAAATCAAAAAGAAATCCAATTCTATTATTTGGATTTAGAGAAGTATATGAATTAAATGAAACTAAAAACGAAAAAAATTCACCAATCAATAATCGGACTATTCATAAATTTTCCACTTCAATTCGATCTATGGATTGGATAAACTATTCACTGACAGAAAAAAAAATGAAAGATCTGAATGCCAGAACAAAGACAATAAGAAATCAAATAGAAAAAATTACAAAAGAAAAGAAAAAACGATTTCTAATCTCAGAAAGAAATATTAGTCCTAACAAACTAAGTTATAATGCTAAAAGATTCAAATTAAAATCATCAAAAAATATTTTACAGATATTAAAAAGAAACAATGCTCAATTAGTCCGTAAATCATATTTTTTTATCAAAATTTTGATTGAAAAGATATATATAGATATCCTTCTAGCTATCATTAATATTCCGAGGATCAATGTACAGTTTTTTCTTGAATCACCAAGAAAAATGATTAATAAATACATTTATATGTATAATAAAAAAGAAAATAACAAAAGAATTGATAAAACAAATCAAAATACACTAATTCACTTTATCTCGATTATAAAAAAGGCATTAAATTATAGTAATTTTAATAAGAACTCGAAGATTTTTTATAACATAACCTCCTTGTCACAAGCATATGTATTTTACAAATTATCACAAGTCCAAGTTATTAACCTATATAAGTTAAGATCTGTCCTTCAATATCATGGAGCATCTCTTTTTCTTAAGAATGAAATAAAAGATTATTTTGGAGTCCAAGGAAGATTTCAGTTCAAATTAAAAGATACAAATTTTAGAAATTCTGTAATGAATGAATGGAAAAACTGGGTAAGAAGTAATTATCAATATAAATACGATTTATCTCAGATCAGATGGTCTAGCTTAATATCGCAAAAATGGCGAAATAGAATGAATCAACAGCATATAATCCAAAATAAAGATTTAAATAAATGGAATTTATATGACAAAGACCAATTAATTCATTATGAAAAACAAAATAATTTTGAAGTGGATTCATTATCGAACCAAAAAGATAATTTTAAAAAATACTATAGATATAATATTTTATTATATAAATCCATTAATTATGAAGATAAAAAAGACTCATCTATTTATGAATTACCATTCCATAATAAGCAAGAGCTTTTTTATAATTACAAAATAGATAAAAGCAAATTATTTGATATGTCGGGAGGTATCCCTGTCAATAAGCATCTAGCAGAAGATGATATTATCGATATGGAAAAAAGCTCGCATAGAAAATATTTGGATTGGAGAATTCTCCATTTTGGTCTTAGAAAGAAAGTCGATATTGAATCCTGGATCGATACCGGAACCAAACAAAAAAAAAACCTTTTTGATTGGATGGGAATGAATGAAGAAATACTAGATCGTCCCACATCAAATTTAGAATTTTGGTTCTTTCCAAAATTTGTGATACTTTGCAACGCATATAAGATAAAATCATGGGTGATACCAATCAAATTACTTTTTTTAAATTTTAATGGAACTAAAAATGTTAGTGAAAATAAAAAAATCAACAAAAAGAAAAATAACGATCCTTTTATATCTATATCATCGAATGAAACAAAATCCATTCAATTAAAGAATCAAAATCATGAAGAAAAAGAGTCTGAGGATCAAGTAGATCTTGAATCAGTTCTAGTAAACCAAGAAAAAGATGTTGAAGAAGATTATGTAAGATCAGACAGGAAAGAGCGTAGAAAGAAAAAGCAATACAAAAGTAATACGGAAGCAGAACTTGATTTCTTGCTAAAAAGGTATTTATGCTTTCAATTAAGATGGGATGATTCTTTAAATCAAAAAATAATCAATAATATAAAAATATATTGTCTCCTGCTTAGATTGACAAATCCACGAGAAATTATTATATCCTCTATTCAAAGGGGAGAACTGAGTCTAGATATTCTAATGATTCAGAAAGATTTAACTCTTACAGAATTGATGAAAAAGGGAATATTGATTATCGAATCAACTCGTCTGTCGGTAAAAAATGATGGAAAATTTATTATGTATCAAACCATAAATATTTTATTGGTTCATAAGAGAAAACAACAAATTTATCAAAGATACAGAAAAAAAAACTATATTGATAAAAAGAATTTTACCGAATCTATTGTAATAAATCAAAGTTTAACTAGAAATAAAGACAAAAATAATTATGATTTACTTGTTCCCGAAAATCTTTTATCCTCTAAACATCGTAGAGAATTGAGAATTCTAATTTCTTTCAATTCAAAAAATGGAAATGATATAAATACAGAAATTCTCAATAATAATAACATAAAAAACCACGCTCACATTATAGATAAAAGCAAACGTTTTGATAGAGATAAAAATAAACTAATTAAATTAAAACTTTTTCTTTGGCCCAATTATCGATTAGAAGATTTAGCTTGTATAAATCGCTATTGGTTTGATACCAATAATGCTAGTCGGTTTAGTATGATAAGGATACATATATGTCCACGATTAAAAATTCGGTAAAGGTCCATTTGTCATATATATCCCATAGCATATCTAATCTAGTATATGAAATATATGAAAACAAGGAGAGGTCCATATACATTGTTTTACATCCCATATTCCATTCTGATACATGGAATTCAATCATCTATCAATTTGATCTAAAAATGAATCAATCCAATTTTTCGTTTTAAATTTTTAGATATAGATATCATTTTTTTTTTTTTTTTCTTTTGTAAGGGAAGAAATATACCATTCTTTATGTATTTCTAGCCGAATAAAAAAAAAATTGGATTGATTAATGTTGACAAAATTAGGAATTCCTAACGAATTGAAGATTATTGTGTATACCAAATTCAAACAAACTGACATTCTTATTTAATATTCCATTATTTATTATTACTGATCAATAAAACTATCTTAAAAAGGCGGGAGGAGGGGGATTTCATTTTATGGTAAAGAGTTCATTCATTTCAATTATTTCACAAGAAGACAAAAAAGAAAACAAGGGATCCGTTGAATTTCAAATAGTAACTTTTACTAATAAGATACGAAGACTTACTTCACATTTGGAATTACATAGAAAAGACTATTTATCTCAAAGAGGTTTACGGAAAATTCTAGGAAAACGCCAACGACTACTGTCTTATTTGGCAAAGAAAAATGGAGTACGTTATAAAGAATTAATTAGCCAGTTGAACATTCGGGAATCAAAAACTCGTTAATTTGAAGAGTCTTTTTTTTTATTATTTGATTTATTAGATCTTAAACTTGAATTTTGATGAACTTCTTTTCGTTTTCAGTAATTCATGGAAAAATAAATCGAGGAACCCCCTATGAATGTACCAGCTACAAGAAAGGACTTTATGATAGTCAATATGGGTCCCCACCACCCATCAATGCATGGCGTTCTTCGACTCATCCTTAGTCTAGACGGTGAAGATGTTATTGACTGCGAACCAATATTAGGTTATTTACACAGAGGGATGGAAAAAATTGCGGAAAACCGAACAATTATACAATATTTGCCTTATGTAACACGTTGGGATTATTTAGCTACTATGTTTACAGAAGCGATAACAATAAATGGACCGGAACAGTTGGGAAATATTCAAGTACCTAAAAGAGCTAGCTATATCAGAGTAATTATGTTGGAGTTGAGTCGTATAGCTTCTCATCTCTTATGGCTTGGCCCTTTTATGGCAGATATTGGTGGGCAGACCCCTTTCTTCTATATTTTTAGAGAAAGAGAGTTAATATATGATTTATTCGAAGCTGCCACTGGTATGAGAATGATGCATAATTATTTTCGTATCGGAGGAGTAGCAGCTGATCTACCTCATGGCTGGCTAGATAAATGTTTGGATTTCTGCGATTATTTTTTAACAGGAGTTGCTGAATATCAAAAACTTATTACGCGAAATCCTATTTTTTTAGAACGCGTTGAAGGAATAGGTATTGTTAGTGCAGAGGAAGCAATAAATTGGGGTTTATCAGGACCAATGCTACGAGCTTCCGGAGTACGATGGGATCTTCGTAAAGTTGATCATTATGAGTGTTATGACGAATTTGATTGGGGAGTCCAGTGGCAAAAAGAAGGGGATTCCTTAGCTCGTTATTTAGTCCGAATTGGTGAAATGACGGAATCCGTAAAAATTATTCAACAGGCTTTGGAAGGGATTCCAGGGGGGCCTTATGAAAATTTAGAAACTCGAAGTTTTGATAGAGAAAGGAATCGAGAATGGAATGATTTTGAATATCGATTTATTAGTAAAAAAACTTCTCCCGCCTTTGAATTGCCGAAACAAGAACTTTATGTTCGAGTTGAAGCACCAAAGGGAGAGTTGGGAATTTTTCTAATAGGGGATCAAAGTAGTTTTCCTTGGAGATGGAAAATTCGCCCGCCGGGTTTTATCAATTTGCAAATTCTTCCTCAATTAATTAAAAGAATGAAATTGGCTGATATTATGACAATACTAGGTAGCATAGATATTATTATGGGGGAAGTTGATCGTTGAAATGATAATTGATACAACAACAGTACAAGCTATCAATTCTTTTTCCAGATTGAAATCCTTAAACGAGGTCTATGGAATTATATGGATGCTTGTCCCTATTTTGACTCTTGTATTGGGAATCACGATAGGCATACTAGTAATTGTGTGGTTAGAAAGAGAAATTTCTGCAGGGATACAACAACGTATTGGACCTGAATATGCCGGTCCTTTTGGAGTTCTTCAAGCTCTAGCGGATGGAACAAAACTACTTTTCAAAGAAAATCTTTTTCCATCTAGAGGAGATACTCGTTTATTCAGTATCGGACCATCCATAGCAGTCATATCAACTCTATTAAGCTATTCAGTAATTCCTTTTGGCTATCACTTTGTTTTAGCGGATCTAAATATCGGCGTCTTTTTATGGATTGCCATTTCAAGTATTGCTCCCATTGGACTTCTTATGTCAGGATATGGATCAAATAATAAATATTCCTTTTTAGGTGGTCTACGAGCTGCCGCTCAATCGATTAGTTATGAAATACCATTAACTCTCTGTGTATTATCCATATCTCTACGTGCGATTCGTTGAAACATAAATTTTTCCCTATTCCCTTTTTCTTTATTAGGAAGAAGGTGAAATTAATTGAATATATATCTTTATTTTTTTATTCATCATTTGAATTGATGAACTAAATTAGATAGTTATATGAGTGAAAGAAAACAGCTTCTAAATTTGCAGTAAAAAAAATCGAGACTCATTTCTTATGTACAACAGTAAAGCAGAAATAAACATAAGAAGATGAGATCATTTGTCCCAAAATTGGTTGATTAGTCATCCTGGCTTGAAAGCGGACTCAAAGAATCAACCTTAGTGAGTTTTTACTATCATTTATATATATATATATTACTGTAATGCTACCGAGCATTTTACTATCATTTATATATATATATATTACTGTAATGCTACCGAGCAGTTGAGTAAAAATAAAAATGAGTGGATGGTTAGGAACACCAAGATACATAAAAGATTAGTAATAGAATTATCCAAAATAAAAGAATATTAATTGGGGCTTTAAATTAGTAGAAATGATCAGGCAGTACTCCCCATGATTCCGATCCAGAGTACGCTCCTATCCACCAATTAAACAAATGACTATCAGGAACGAACTAATCCTTTACCTTTTTTTTTTTTCAGAAGGAAGAATAGGAACAAAAAAAAAAGAATAGAATTACAATAGAAAAAGAAAAAAAAGAGATCCTTTTTCTTCTTTCTTTCCTATATCGATATTCATAGAAATCGAATTCGTGTCATAATTCATGAAATAATGGACTGTCTAATTATTTTTCGTAATCGAAAATGATAGGTTAAAATATTTATTGGTATTTCTACAAGAAGTATTTTATTGAAAGATTTAAGTTATTGCTCAAGAAAGAAAAATTGAAATTCTTAAAAGATGAGATCAATTCAGAAGTACTTTATTTTAGTATTATAACAGACAGAATTACATTGGTCAAATTTTGGAATTGGGGGGGCATCCGATAGATTTGGATCCTATTTATCCTACAAATATATCGAGATAAATAATATGATCTGGCCCTTAGATTTATTTATGGCCTTCGAGGAGCCATATGAGGTGAAAATCTCATGTATGGTTCTGTAATAGCGATGGGAACAGTGATGTCATCACCGACTATGATTATCTAACAGTTCAAGTACAGTTGATATAGTTGAGGCACAATCAAAATATGGTTTGGGGGGATGGAATTTGTGGCGTCAACCTATAGGATTTATTATTTTTTTCATTTCTTCCCTAGCAGAATGTGAGAGATTACCTTTTGATTTACCAGAAGCAGAAGAAGAATTAGTAGCAGGTTATCAAACCGAATATTCGGGTATCAAATTTGGTTTATTTTATGTTGCTTCCTATCTAAACTTATTAGTCTCTTCATTATTTGTAGCAGTTCTTTACTTGGGCGGTTGGAATATCTCTATTCCGTACATATCCGTTCCGGAGTTTTTTGATTTTGAAATAAATAAAGTAGGTAGAGTCTTTGGAACAACAATGGGTATTCTTATTACATTGGTTAAAACTTATTTGTTCTTGTTCATTCCTATCACAACAAGATGGACTTTACCTAGACTAAGAATGGACCAACTATTAAATCTTGGATGGAAATTTCTTTTACCTATTTCTCTTGGCAATCTATTATTAACAACCTCTTCCCAACTCTTTTCACTATAAAGTAATTCTTTTCTATATTTATAGTTTGTCTCAAACAAGATAAAGAAACAAATATAAAATTATTCATAGAGATTCACGATATGTTCCCTATGGTAACTGGGTTCATGAATTATGGTCAACAAACCATACGGGCTGCAAGGTACATTGGTCAAAGTTTCATGACTACCTTATCCCACGTAAATCGTTTACCTGTAACTATTCAATATCCTTATGAAAAATTAATCACATCGGAGCGTTTCCGCGGTCGAATCCATTTTGAATTTGATAAATGCATTGCTTGTGAAGTATGTGTTCGTGTATGTCCTATAGATTTACCTGTTGTTGATTGGGAATTGGAAACTAATATTCGAAAGAAACGATTGCTTAATTACAGTATTGATTTCGGAATCTGTATATTTTGTGGCAACTGTGTTGAGTATTGTCCAACTAATTGTTTATCAATGACTGAAGAATATGAACTTTCTACCTATAATCGTCACGAATTGAATTATAACCAAATTGCTTTAGGTCGTTTACCAATGTCAGTAATTGACGATTATACAATTCGAACAATTTCGAATTCACCTCAATCTTTAATCAAAATGGGCAAACCCCCTTTGATTAAAGATTGATTGAAGAGTCATTTTTAATCATTAAACAAAGATCTAGGTTTGATCTAAAAGTCTGAAATATTTTTTTTTTCATTTTGTTTGGTCAATAACTACAAAAGCTACAAATCCCAACTAGCGATTGGATTTGATTGATTGGTAAGAATTGCAGCGCAGCTTAATTTGGATTGAAAATCTATTAATATAGTCATAATTCTATCCATAATTATTTCTATTTCGAAATAGAAATAAAAATGAAAGTGTCAATTTTTATTTTTTCGAGAAAGAATGAGATTAGTCCGATAGCGGTACTACAGTAATTTAAACCTTTTAGGATTTAATTCAATTAGGAACCCATTCTAAATAAGTTTTTCCTGGTCGGGTCAATAAAGTCATGAAAAAAAAAGAATTTGATTTTTTTATCTTTTATTTTACGTACAATGAATTTACCTGGACCAATACATGATTTTCTTTTAGTCTTTCTAGGATTAGGTCTTATATTAGGAGGTCTAGGAGTGGTATTACTTACCAATCCAATTTTTTCTGCCTTTTCATTAGGATTGGTTCTTGTTTGTATATCCTTATTCTATATTTTATCAAACTCTCATTTTGTAGCTGCGGCGCAGCTCCTTATTTATGTGGGAGCTATAAATGTTTTAATTTTATTTGCTGTGATGTTCATGAATGGTTCAGAATATTACAAAGATTTCAATCTTTGGACTGTTGGGAATGGTCTTACTTCTCTAATTTGTACAAGTCTTTTTGTTTTACTAATTACTATTATTTCAAATACAACATGGTATGGGATTATTTGGACTACAAAAGCAAACCAGATTATAGAGCAAGATTTGGTAAGTAATGGTCAACAAATTGGAATTCATTTATCAACAGATTTTTTTCTTCCATTTGAATTTATTTCAATAATTCTTTTAGTTGCTTTGATAGGTGCGATTGCCACGGCTCGTCAGTAATAAATCTTTTAAATCGGCAATCGCAATCCAAATCAGACTTTATTCTATGTTATCACATTTATTTTAAGATTATTCATATATAAATTCTTTTATTCGATCTATATTCCAATCTATTTTTTTTGTTTTGTACTTGTGATATTCTTATTCTAGTCAATCTAATCTGTTGATGTTAAATTGTTGTTCATTGTTCATATTGAAATAAATCGAAATCGATAAGGAGTTGGGCGATGATGCTCGAATATGTGCTTGGTTTGAGTGCTTATTTATTTTCTATCGGTATCTATGGATTGATCACGAGTCGAAATATGGTTAGAGCCCTTATGTGTCTTGAACTTATATTGAATGCCGTCAATATAAATTTCGTAACATTTTCTGATTTTTTTGATAGTCGACAATTAAAAGGAAATATTTTATCAATTTTTGTTATATCTATCGCAGCCGCTGAAGCAGCTATCGGGCCGGCTATAGTTTCGTCAATTTATCGTAACAGAAAATCAATCCGTATCAATCAATTGAATTTGTTGAATAAGTAGTATTAATCATATAAAATATTTAGATTCATTAATTTGAATTGACATCTATAATACATAGCATATCTGATAATGTTTACGAAAACGTAAGAAATTAAAGTATCTTGGTTCTATCTCATGAGTCGATCCGAAATTGAATAGACAAATTATGATAAATCATTGATTCATCTGGTGTCTAAATATATGATTTATTTAAAAATTTACTAGATCGAAAATTTATGACGTAAAAAAAAAATTATAGATCCAATGTCACATTCAGTAAAAATCTATGATACATGTATAGGGTGTACTCAATGTGTCCGGGCCTGCCCCACGGATGTATTAGAAATGATACCTTGGGACGGGTGTAAAGCTAAGCAAATTGCTTCTGCTCCAAGAACAGAAGACTGTGTTGGCTGTAAGAGATGCGAATCCGCCTGTCCAACAGATTTCTTGAGTGTTCGAGTTTATCTATGGCATGAAACAACTCGAAGCATGGGTCTAGCTTATTAATACTTTCCAGAAAAAACCACTTGAATACATTTGATTTTTTGTTTACCGACAAAAACCCGTACTCGAAAACCTAATCTATTTTTTTTTTTTATTATTATTTTTTTTCGAGTACGGGTTTTTCTTGTCCAAGTGTATCTTGTCTTTACCACGAATTCTTTTCCTTGGTTAACAATATTTGTAGGTTTACCAATATCCGCGGGTTTCTTGATTTTCGTTTTCCCTCATAGAGGAAATAAGGTAATTAGGTGGTATACTATATTTATATGTGTACTAGAACTCCTTTTAATGACCTATGCATTCGCTTATTATTTCCAATTGGACGATCCCTTAATCCAATTGACGGAGTCTTATAAATGGATTAATTTTTTTGATTTTTACTGGAGATTAGGAATAGATGGACTTTCTCTAGGACCTATTTTACTGACCGGATTTATCACCACTTTAGCTACTTTAGCGGCTCGGCCAATTACTCGGGATTCCCGATTATTTCATTTTTTGATGTTAGCAATGTATAGTGGTCAAATAGGATTATTTTCTTCTCAAAATCTTTTACTTTTTTTCATTATGTGGGAGTTAGAATTAATTCCTGTTTATCTACTTCTAGCCATGTGGGGGGGAAAGCAACGTCTGTATTCAGCTACAAAATTTATTTTGTATACTGCAGGAAGTTCTGTTTTTTTATTAATGGGGGCCTTAGGTATCGCTTTCTATGCTTCCAATGAACCAACATTCAATTTTGAAACATCAGCTAATCAATCATATCCTGTGACCTTGGAAATACTATTCTATATTGGATTTCTTATTGCTTTTGCTGTCAAATCACCGATTATACCCTTACATACATGGTTACCAGACACCCATGGAGAAGCACATTACAGTACTTGTATGCTTTTAGCTGGAATCTTATTAAAAATGGGAGCATACGGATTGGTTCGAATAAATATGGAATTATTATCCCACGCCCATTCTATATTTTCTTCTTGGTTGATAATAGTAGGTGCAATACAAATAATCTATGCAGCTTCAACATCTTCTGGTCAAAAAAATTTAAAAAAAAGAATAGCCTATTCTTCTGTATCTCATATGGGTTTTACAATTATAGGAATTTGCTCTATAAGCGATATGGGACTCAACGGGGCCATTTTACAAATAATATCTCATGGATTTATTGGCGCTGCGCTTTTTTTCTTGTCAGGAACAAGTTATGATAGAATACGTCTTGTTTATCTTGACGAAATGGGCGGAATGGCTACCCTAATGCCAAAAATATTCATGATGTTCAGTATCTTATCATTAGCTTCTCTTGCATTACCGGGCATGAGCGGTTTTTTTGCGGAATTGGTAGTATTTTTTGGAATAATTACCGCCAAAAAATATTTTTTAATGCCAAAAATACTAATTACTTTTGTAACGGCAGTTGGAACGATATTGACTCCTATTTATTTATTATCTATGTTACGCCAGATGTTCTATGGATACAAGCTGTTTAATGCCACAAATTCTTATTTTTTTGATTCTGGACCACGAGAATTATTTGTTTCGATTGCTATCCTTCTGCCTGTAATCAGTATTGGTATTTATCCGGATTTCGTTTTCTCATTATCAGTTGACAAGGTCGAAGCTATTCTATCTAATTATTTTTATAGCTAATTTTTTTTTTATTTTATAGGTAATTATTATAATTTTATAGGTAGTTATTAGTTATAGGTAATTATAATTTTATAGGTAGTTATTAGTTATTATAAAATAAAAAAAAAACGGAATTGTAATCAGATATGTTTAGCATTTGCGAGAACCTTTTGAATCACTCCATTACTTGAGTGATTCAAAAGGTTCTCAACGACTTACCTGAAGCTTCTTATATATATGTTAAGCTGTCCTATGGTTATATTTGTCAAACTCTTTCTTCAATTCAATTAGATATTAATGTAAATGAACCATAACTATGTAGTCCTATTCCTAATAAATTAACCCCAAAATAGCATATCCAGATTATAAGAAAACCGATAGAAGCGACAATTGCAGAATTTAAACCTTCCAAATTCTTATTTGTTCGAGTATGGAAATAAATCGCGAATATGGTCCAAGTAATAAATGCCCAAGTTTCTTTTGGGTCCCAATTCCAATATGATCCCCATGCTTCATTAGCCCAGACTGCTCCTGAAAGAATACCTATGGTTAAAAAAAGAAACCCTATACTAAGAATACGAAAACCCCAATGATCTAATTGTTGAATCAATTGAAACCTGTAATAATTCCTAGAAGAAGGAAAAAAAGTATTTTTAAAAATACTTTTTTTTTCCATCATGTATTGGATCTCATCAACGGGAAATGAATCATTTAATAAATTATTGTTTTTACCAACAATTCTTATGACTTTTCGAAATGTAATTACTAGAAGTGCTGCTGACAATAATGATCCACATAAAAGAGCTGCATAGCCCGATACCATCATACTTACGTGCATTATTAACCACTGGGATTGGAGAGCAGGTACTAAGATTTTAGATTGATGCATGTCGGTTAAAAGACCCCAAGTAGCAAAGCCTTGGGTAAAAAAAGTACTTGGTGCGGTTATTGTGCTTAAATAATTTTTATGTTTTTTAAAATATGGAACCATATGAATAATAGAGAAAATCCATGAAAGAAATATTAATGATTCGTATAAATCACTTATTGGTAAATGTCCCGAATAAATCCAACGAGTAATTAGTAATCCTGTTAGGCAGAAAAAAGTAGTTAACATGCCTTTTTCTGACGAATCATAGAGTCCCACGAATTCATTGACTAATAAGGTTAGAAAATGAATTATAATTACAATTGAAACGACCGAAAAAGATATATGAGTTAATATATGTTCTAAAGTCAAAAATATCATAAAAAAAAGGGGGGAATACTTTAATTATCCATAATTCTACATACGGAATTGAATTCATTATAGGATTTATTCTATGCTTTTAATAATTAGATAATTTTAAAATAGATAATTTAAAAATGTTATGCCGCCACTCGGACTCGAACCGAGATGCTCTAGCACTGCTTCCTAAGAGCAGCGTGTCTACCGATTTCACCATGGCGGCTTGCTCAAAATTATAATAACCTTTTTTTATTCAATCGGCGAGCTTGAAGGAGTTAATTCAATGTAATATTTTTTTAGAAACATTAAAATTAATGAAAAAAAAAAAAATGAATTTTTTTTTTCATTTTTTCATTTTTTCATTTTTTCAATTTCAACATTCCATTCAAGGGATTTCTGAAACTATTTTATTGTATTAATCCTTAGGGTTTCGTTAGGTAGAAAATTTGTGTTAAGGTTTAGCAACCCCATTAGGTATTGATTTATGGACATATAATATAACAAAAAAGTTTCGAGTTCTGTCCCGGACTTTTAAATTCTTTAAAATTGAAAAATCTTATCTAATTTAATGTATATACCTTGATACATTATCCAGCCCAAACATATGATCTAAACTAGATCAGTCAAAATTTACACATTTTTATCTACCTGGTACTTCTTTTAATTGGATTGAAGGCATCAAAGGTTCTATTTTCTAGAGTGATTAAAAATAAAAATTGTCAAGACAGTTATAAAATAAGTTAAACTTAATTCATTTTTTTTTTTTTATTAAAAATAATAAGATTTTTTTTATGGAACATACATATCAATATTTATGGATTATATCTTTCGTTACACTTCCAGTCCCTATGTTAATAGGAATGGGACTGCTACTTTTTCCGGTGTCAACAAAAAAGCTTCACCGTATATGGGCTTTTCCCAGTGTTTTATTGTTAAGTATAGTTATGGTTTTTTCGACCGATCTGTTTATTCAGCAAATAAATAGCAGTTCCATTTATCAATATGTATGGTCTTGGACCATCAACAATGATTTTTCCTTAGAGTTCGGGCACTTGATTGACCCCCTTACTTCTATTTTGTTAATATTAATTACTACGGTTGGAATTTTGGTTCTTGTTTATAGTGACAGTTATATGTCTCATGATCAAGGCTATTTGAGATTTTTTGTTTATATGAGTTTTTTCAATACTTCAATGCTGGGATTAGTTACCAGTTCGAATTTAATCCAAATTTATATCTTTTGGGAATTGGTTGGAATGTGCTCTTACCTATTAATAGGTTTTTGGTTCACACGACCTATTGTGTCCAATGCTTGTCAAAAAGCATTCGTAACTAATCGTGTAGGCGATTTTGGTTTATTATTAGGAATTTTAGGTCTTTATTGGATAACAGGCAGTTTCGAATTTCAGGATTTGTTTGAAATATTCAATAACTTGATTTATAATAATGATAATGAGGTTCATTTTTTATTTGTTACCTTGTGCGCTTTCCTATTATTTTCCGGTGCAATTGCTAAATCGGCGCAATTCCCCCTTCATGTGTGGTTACCGGATGCCATGGAAGGACCTACCCCTATTTCGGCTCTAATACATGCTGCTACCATGGTAGCAGCGGGAATTTTTCTTGTAGCTCGACTTCTTCCTCTTTTCGTAGTTATACCTTACATAATGAAGCTAATAGCTTTGATAGGTATAATAACAGTACTATTAGGAGCTACTTTAGCTTTTGCTCAAAAAGATATTAAGAGAGGTTTAGCTTATTCTACAATGTCTCAATTGGGTTATACGATGTTAGCTTTAGGTATGGGTTCCTATCGAGCCGCTTTATTTCATTTGATTACTCATGCTTATTCGAAAGCATTGTTGTTTTTAGGATCTGGATCCATTATTCATTCAATGGAAGGTATTGTTGGCTATTCTCCGGATAAGAGTCAAAATATGGTTCTTATGGGTGGTTTAACAAAACATGTTCCAATTACAAAAATTGCTTTTTTATTAGGAACCCTTTCTCTTTGTGGTATTCCACCTCTCGCCTGTTTTTGGTCCAAAGATGAAATTCTTAATGATAGCTGGTCGTATTCACCTATTTTCGCAATAATAGCTTTTTCCACAGCAGGATTAACTGCATTTTATATGTTTCGGGTTTATTTACTTACTTTTGAAGGGCATTTAAATATTTATTTTCAAAATTATAGTGGTAAAAAAAACAGCGCATTCTATTCAATATCTTTATGGGGTAAACAAGGATCAAAAATCTTAAAAAAAAAAATGCGTTTATTACCTTTATTAACAATAAATAATGAAAATAATAATGAAAGAGCTTCTTTTTTTTGTTTTTTTTGGAAGAAAATATATCAAACTGGTGGTACTGTAAGAAAGATGACGTGTCCT